GACACGAATGTCTGCCAGCTCTCGGCCCTTGAGTCTTACACCCTATTCCCTCATAGTGGATCAGCTCCCACATTCCCATGGCATGAAATCTCCCGAGTTACTTGGTTGGCTGCAGGAACTCAGTTGAAGTCTGTATCATATAGAAAGACCAACCATATAATCCTACTGATCCCATCTTGCCTTGAAATGCGCAATGACTTGGTAAAGGAATAAAACGTATCAGGCACCAGAGTTAGACACATTTCCTAAATAAAGAATGGGTTGTCATTTTATGGTTTTAAAACCTGAGGCAGAGTAGCCTCCCACAGGGATACCCAGGCTCTCTCATGTTTCTGTTATGTCTGTTTCCAGGTGTTGTCATAGTTTGGATTTCATAATTTACCCCAAAAACCCAGAGTGTAAATATCAGTCAATATAATGAGATTAAGGCAAGAAAGAACAGGCAGCACATGCCATGTGCCTGTGGGTTCATACCCAAATTTGTATCTGCCAAACCTGCCTTGACTCAAGTACAACACAAAAGCTGCTTTTGTGAGGCTTCAAAGTCCTTAAAAGTCCTAAATGAAGGCAGCTGGTCTGCCCTGCCAAAGAAACAGGCAGGTGGCTTCTCTTTACATAAAATACTTTTCCTGAAGACAAAATGCAACAATAGTTGGCAGATTTCACTGAAGTACAAGAAAAGGTCCAATGATGACTAAATAGATGGAAGTAAGTGTTGCTCGTGCAGTAATCATTAATTCTGAAGTTAGTCTGGACTCCAAACCTCTGTCAAGAAGAGAAGATTATGGAAAAGCTCAAAAACCAGGAGGGCTACAAAGTAGATGGGTACAGTGCAAGTTTAGAAAAGAATGCCAAAGCAGAATGTTATGTGACCTACGGCATGGATTTTTAATATCTGGGCAGAATGGTAAAAGCAAAGAAGTCTCCAAAGAAAAATGAAAGCCCAAAACTTTCTAAATAAAACTAAAGGTGAATCACTCAATTGCCATTTTTGAGTTTGAAAAATTCCTAATACTTTCAGTTTGCATTATTAATTAGAAAGGAGAGAGAGTAGTAGGGAAAATTAACAGAAACAAAAATGTTTGGTGCCAAAACTGGATTGAAAGAGACAACACGAGATGTAACTATTCTCTGAGACTGAGCTCTTCAAAATGTTTGGTGCCAAAACTGGATCGAAAGAGACAACATGAGATGTAACTATTCTCTGAGACTGAGCTCTCACGTGCAGCCTTCCCTAAAGCTGTTGGAAGCAGTTGGGCTCCCACAGCTGCATCCCTCTGGCTTTGACGAGAGAGATGCAAGTTTCTCCTCTCACCAGAGTTCCCAGGAAAGGGTCCTCATCATAAGGGATTCCCTGAAGCAAAAGAACCTGAGAACCAAGGGTGAGAACACTGACCTGAGGGGGAAAAATGTGAAACTCAATGCTTGACAAGACAGAAGAAGTGAAGAGGACAAAGGTGTTCAAGTTTGGGAGGTGGAAAGCCCACTTTTTGCAGTTTGCATGACTGTGGGAAGCAGAGACTAACACGGCTGCAGCAGGTAGAGGGGTGTAACTGGGGATGTGATCAATATGGCACTGCTCTTTGGACAGATGGAAGGGGGCTTATCTATACTAGAAGAGGAGAAATTCATTTGACAATCATACTGGTACACATTATTTCACTATTCTTAATCTATGCAGGATCTAGGCTATTATGGAAAATTAAAACCTAAATACATTTACAGTCATAGCTCAAGCTTCTTGTCTTTAGTAGAAAGAATACTTAATTTCCTGTTTTGAATTTCATCATCTTTTTTCCTTTAAAACCTTGGAATAGTCAGCAATTAGAAATACTACATACTTTTTAATTATGGTGATGAAAAAAATCTTTTTGCTTCTCAACAATGGCATGAGATAATTTTTTAAATTTTGATAACAGTTTCCTGGTGACTTGGAATCTTTATTATATTGCTGAGGCAACTGACTGCAATCTACTTTCTAAGGATCATTATTGTGTCAATTTGAGCCGATTCAGCTGTTGTTCGAGACGCATAGCATACATGTGCTATTTAATATTTCATTTCAAATTGCCCTTCCTTTTATTATCTATCAAGCTGGTTTTCTTGTTTAAGCACTAAATGTACTTATAAAACTTAAGATACTGACCTGGATATATTTTTCATTGTGTGTTCAGTTATAAGTTAAATGTGATAATTATTCTAAAATAAAAGTATTTTTCAGAAAGAGAGCTTTCTAAATAAAGTCATCTGCCCAGAGACTCCCTATGAAACGTGTTCTCATATTTCCTTGTAATATTAATCTTGCAAAGGGAATTCAGATGTTGTTATGATAAAAAATAGCAAATGTACAGTGACAACTAAGTGGTGATTTTCTTTAAAATCCATTCTAGCTAATCTGGTTTTAGAATACTCTGAAGCACATTTCCAATTTTAAATATCTTAATGTATCACAACCACTCCAAATGTGTCTGTGAATAAACAGAAGTAGGATTCCTGCAGAAACAGAGAGGAATCCACATAGTATTTCCGTCTCCAGCACCACGTATGGAGGGGACTAGGATAAGTCACATCATCTCCTGTGCCTCAGCTGCCCCATCAGTAAAGCAATCCATGGTGGTAATGGCCTTTAAGATCTTTGACTGAAAGGCTATGTACAAAGAAAAAGAATTTGAAAACAGTCTATTTTTCTTTTTTTTAGGTCTTCCTTAAATCGGCAAAAGAGATCTTTGATTGAAAGACTATGTACAAAGAAAAAGAAGTTGAAAACAGTCTATTTTTTTTTTTAGGTCTTCCTTAAATCGGCAAAATTCCAGGTTCAGACCTAGAATTTGCAGTGAAACAGGCTGAGATCTTAATGAGCGATTTACACGGGCTCACCATATCCTGCCTACAGAGACATTTGTGTGTTCCAGAAGCACACACTGTTCTTCATTTTTTTTGCTTTCATTTTTGAAAACACAGGTGCCATTTATAGGTATGTACAAGTATATGCATTCACACCACATTTATATCTTTACAGTAAAAGTCTCAATTATTCAACATTTGCCACACCATTGAATCAGAATATCTTCTATTTAAATACAGGAGATACTACAGTTACTGCAGGCTCCTGAATTTTGAAGATCGTGTTCTTAAGGCAAAGTATGTTATCTGACATGAAATACATACATTTATACACACATACTCACAAAGAATACTGTCTCTCAATATCAAGGAGACTGTATATAACTCGTAAGTAAAATGAAACTATTCTAATTTACATCAATAACAAGCCCTGTAGAGCAGACGACAGTACAATAACTACCTATGCAGTCACAACAGGAAAGCTCAGTACAAAGAATACTGTCTCCCGATATCAAGGAGGCTGTATATAACTGGTAAGTAAAATTAAACTATTCTAATTTACATCAATAACAAGCCCTGTAGAGCAGACGACAGTACAATAACTACCTATGCAGTCACAACAGGAAAGCTCAGACACCTAAAAACTTCTGTTTGCAGCCTTTTATTCCACTTTAATTCATCATGCCATGTCTTAACGGAAACACTTACAAAGCATTCTAAGGCTCCCATTAATTACCAGTACCCACCTTGACTGTTTGCAGCCTTTTATTCCACTTTAATTCATCATGCCATGTCTTAAAAGAAACACTTACAAAGCATTCTAAGGCTCCCATTAATTACCAGTACCCACCTTGAGACTACCTACAGATTTACAAACCATACCTTCAGGAATATATCGTCATAAAACACTTAAAGGTGCTTCATGAACAGGACAAGCAGCAGTGGGATGCAGTAGGAGGAACACACCTCAGAAGGGACGTAAGAGCTGACACGTGACTTTCAGGGATTTTGTGTACAGGTTAATTTACATGTTGTTCTTTTTGCATCGTTTCCTAGCAGAACTACAGCACGTAATTAATGAGATTGAGTGGAGTCTCTTTAAAGTTTTCCTGTCCAAGAATACCTCAATTATTACTGTTTTGATGAGCTTTCCACCCAGTGCTTTTGATTTCAAAATAGAAGTACAAAACAAAACTGAAAGACCTTTTTTGCACGAGGACATAAAAACATACTTTAACATACCCCCTCCCCCCTTCTTTTTCACTTTCCTTTTTAAATGAATCCACTGTGACTCGTCATAAAACACTTAAAGGTGCTTCATGAACAGGACAAGCAGCAGTGGGATGCAGTAGGAGGAACACACCTCAGAAGGGACGTAAGAGCTGACACGTGACTTTCAGGGATTTTGTGTACAGGTTAATTTACATGTTGTTCTTTTTGCATCGTTTCCTAGCAGAACTACAGCACGTAATTAATGAGATTGAGTGGAGTCTCTTTAAAGTTTTCCTGTCCAAGAATACCTCAATTATTACTGTTTTGATGAGCTTTCCACCCAGTGCTTTTGATTTCAAAATAGAAGTACAAAACAAAACTGAAAGACCTTTTTTGCACGAGGACATAAAAACATACTTTAACATACCCCCTCCCCCCTTCTTTTTCACTTTCCTTTTTAAATGAATCCACTGTGATGCTTAAAAAGCACATCTTTTAAATATCCTTTCCTTTCATGCATAACATGCAAACCACCCCTCGGTGGTTTGAAGCCAAACATGTATTTGTTTGCTTGCATCTATGTTTGTATCTGAGGAGACAAACCTCACTAATAAGCAATACAGAACTTTCAAATCCCTAAGTGACTAGTGTCAGTGAAGAGTTATAACAGGGGCATCGTATAAAGCTTCTCTGCAAAGCAGGCAGATTGTCAGCGCAGGGAGTTAAGCAGAGATGAATCTATTTCGGTGCATTCTAGCAGTATATCCTAAAGCATATTTTTAGCTTCAACATGCCAAATTTAAAACCTGGTTGTAACTCTCTCTCTTGTTCACCGGACAGCTGAGCACCATCAAACAGCTCCAGGTGTATCCTAACAGAGTATGTTTACATCTGCTCCCTCTCCCCCTGCTCTACCTTTCTCGGGTCACACGGCCAGCTCTTACCTCAATGGTGTACTGTTCAAAGATCCGCAGCTGAAGGAAAATGTCTAGCTTAATCTTCCTCTCATGGAAGAGCTCTTCCATCTGTACCTGGGCCTCGTCGAGCTGCTGAAGGACAGACTCAATGTGGCTGATGGAACTATTGTGCGGAGTCTTATTGTTGGAAACGGCGGAGTCCCTGTAGCAAGGCAGAGAGCATGGTTAAAGCTGAGCTTTAAGGCAGGCAAAAGGGCAAGAACTACACATTTGTGATTGTGGGTGCTGCTGAGAAGCAAACCCAAGCACAAAGGGCTGAGGGAAGGTGTGTGCACACCCATCTCTTCTACTCGCTGAAATCCTGCAGCTCCTAAGCTTGACTCAAAGTTTGAACAAGAGGATCATCCTTTCTTCTGTCGTGACACTGTGAACTTACGCCCTTGGGAGGGAAGGAGAATGACACGTCAATCTCGATGTCTGCCTTGAGGAAACTGGCTGGCAATGCCCTTTAATCCTACAAAGTCACCTACATTCACACCAAATTCAGAGATGCTATTTAGCCACCTGGACCTTCACAAGTTAATTTTGTGCATTTTCTTTATTACTTACAGACTAATTGAATCAGAATTGCCAGCATTTTAAACCAAGGGGTCAGGACGCCTTGATTTCCTCTGGATTACGTACAACAGCAATAGATGCAGAATACAGCACAAAAAACTCCACTGAAAGACAGCACCTTTCAAATACTGTGAGATGGACTCTGGCTTGTCTTTTCACTATCTCATGTCATCATTTCACTCTCTCATGAAATGAGACATGCCTGTGAGAGGTCAGACACTGCTCCATCTACACCTTCCACATACAGGCAGCAGAGGACCAAGGGGAAGTTTGCTGCACCTGAAAGAAGTCTTAGCATGGAGAGAGGACAGTCCTGAGAGTTTCTGTTCAATTTATGCTCAGATGTATATATTAATAGGTTCACCTACAGCTTGTAACACCTTCAGTAATTTTTTTTCAGTGACTGTTTATGGATAAAGAGCCTTTGCAGACATAAAGAGCTGAAATCTATCCTCAAATGTGCCACAAAAGGTCCCCCAACTTTAACAAGAATCAAAAAGGAAATTCTGAAGCCATAATTTAATCTTGGCTTTGGTACTTCAGCTAAACCAAGATTTAGACGCAACCGTTTTCTCTGTCCATCTTGCCCAAAGGCATGTGAGAGCAGCTGCATTATTTGGCATACTTAAACCAAGCCAACTGAAAACCCTATCAAGCACACTGTTGGAAAGACCTGTGCACTGGCAGGATAACAGGACAGAGTGGGTAAGCCAACAGGTCTTACCATCAATATTTCCTATGCATCATAAGTTCTGCCTTGGAGAAGAAGGGGGCACAACTACAAATCCAACAGCACATACTGGCCTATTGCTGCACCAACAAACCCCCACACATGCAGTGAACTGGCTGACAATATTGGAAGACAAGTGACACATCAGGTAATGCTGCCTGGTCACTACACTGTCCCACAGAGACCAAACATGGCTGGGAGCCGTTCTTCTGGCTAGCTAACCCTGGCTGCTGAGTAGAGGTGCCCATGGAGTCTCCCCACTGGGGAAGAGTGCTAGTGTGTTCCCAATTTTTAATTTTTTATTTCCCTTTTCTGGGTTGAATTTTCAGTCCATAAACATCTAGCAAAACATTTGTAGTTTTCTACAGATCTTGACTGAAATGCTTGTGCTTTGCTCTTTGCAAATTATCATCACGTAGGGTCAGATCAAAACAACGTACAGTCAACTTAAATGTTAATTGAACACTGTCAGTGAGCATAATTGAAGAAAAAAAAAAAAGTACAATCTTTTAGAGATGCCTTTAACTGAAACTACGTGCTGAAACATGGAGTCATTTAGGTATGTTTAAAACGCACCTTTGAGGTTCTAAGGCAACAAAACACACATTATTCTGTTTTTATTATGTTTCTTGAAGGAACAGAGAAAGCATTTGCCTAAATATATGAAGACTAAGAATAAAATTAAAAATAGAGAATACTATTAACTTCATAGGAGTTTGCTTTTTGGATGTATTTCACCTCTTCTTCCGCAAATACTTTATGTTTGATACACTGAACTTCAGATGCTCCAGCATTAGTCTGAAGAAAGTACTACCAGCTTCCTTTGCTGATATGGGAATATTACACCAATATTACTCTCTCCAGATGATATGGTTTCTGCCCCACTCTGTCCATCCTACATTTTCTTGGTGACCACAAGGTCTCCTTCTGCCTTCATGTTCAAGCTGTACAAAAGAAGGATGAATGAAGATAACAAGGTGAGATTCTGGAAGTACAGCTTAATCTGAGGCCACATTCAACCAAGTTCTGTTTCCTTCAGTCAGCACCTGTCTTCTATAAAAGAACGTGAAATATATCTTCATTCTAATGCAGGATTATTACTATTCATATATTATCTAAATGACTCAATGAATTATTCAAGACTGGTGTTGAATAATCTCTCATGGGATCTAAAAGCACACTTGGTTTTAGAAATTCTTTTCCATTAAACATTTCACTCTTCAAATCAAGCCACACTTGCATTTCAGTGGCTGATGCAATACAAAAAATTAAGTGTTATAATCTGGTACTTTTCAGTCTCCTCAGAAAAGGCCTTGACAATCCCTATACAGTCTGGTTTGGGAAAGATCTCCTCCCAGAAAAATAAGCTTCTGGGATTGGATGCTTCTGCCACAAGATTTCTTGCTCAGTCTGGTGATGAGAAATTCTGGGAAAGAATTCACAAAAGATCCTTGGTATTCTCTGAAAGGTTATGCATCAGAGTTATAAAATGCAGGGAAATTACTGAAAAAAGTGCCAGATAAACTTCGGGGAACATAAAACTGGACTTAGTGCATTGCTGTTGAGTTTGTTCAGAATGAATGCTGAGCTCCTGAAACCAGTTCCAGTGCCTTAACTGGGAGAGAGCTTAGTGAAACACACCCGTTATCAAAAGCTCATATGCTGAACTACAGTAAAGAAAGAAAGATACGTAACTCTTTGCTTTCTTTAAGCTAACATTCCTGCTCTTTCACATCTCACTGGAGCAAGTCATTGTTTTGCCTTTCACAGATGTACAGAAATCTTGCCCCCAGCAGCACTCCTGGAAACGCAGTTTAAAAAGATTGCTTCATGTAGATTGCTGAGAACGATGATCACCTCAGTAAAACATTGATAAGGAAGAGTGGAAAAAGTGTTCCCATTGCTAACCGTGGCATGCACAGTGTTGCTAGCCAGGCCTGGTTTATTCCTGACAGTTATGGTCTCCTGATGCAGACTCACTGAAGGCCCTGAAGACCTTCTGTGAAGAGCAGTCCCAAGCATCATATTTAACTAGCTCAGGCAGCTGAGCTTTCCTAAGCAATCCAGAGGAGACACAGAGTGCTATTATACAAATCATCTTCTCTAAACCAGTATCTGTTCTCTCAGGGATAGGCACAAGAAACATAAAATTTTTCAAAGCCCCATTAATTTTATTGGTTTTAACCTGTGCTATGACATGCTTGATAAAAGCAGCGTATTTCATTCTCTGCACTTTTGTATTGTTTGCAATCTTCAGCTGTTCTTCATGGCAGGTACAAGGTGATCCACACCGTGAAATGCAACGCCGTGTTAAGGAAAGATTGCAGCAATTCTAATTTTTCCTCCTTTCCTTTATCTGTGCATTCTTTACTTTTGCCAGCAGCCACAAAAGCTGTTAGAGGGGGCACACACAGGAGTGGTTTCATGCTTTTCTTACACAGTTCTGCTTCACTTTTTGACAGAGTCCAGGACCACATGGCAGGCTTTGCAGTTAGTCACAGTGCTCAAAACCAACACTTGGATCAGGGAGCGCCTTGACAGGTCAGCTCTGCAAATCTTTGTGTGGATTCAGGGCTTCTGTCCTTCAGACAACCGTTCCCTCTGCCTTTGGCCTTAACTTTATCAGAAGTGGGGGGATCACTTTGCACACATACGCTCACCCTGTTCCACCTTGCTCACTGCCCAGAATACAAGCCAGACCCCAAAAACATTTATTTGTTAAATATAGCTGCCACAAACCTCGTCTTGGCTTTTCACAAATGTTTAGGCATGAGAAAAATTCCAAAAGAGTTATCAAACCTGAGGCCACTCTTACTTTTCAAAGACTGAAACTAAGAATTGACTAGGTTTACATGAAAAAAAGCTGAAGTCCCACGTGACATCTCCCAGTTCACCTCTTCTCCTACATGAACTTGAAGCCTTTCTCCAAAAACCGCTATTTATACTGATACTACACTGACTCCTCAGCTCCAAATAGCACCCTGGCCACTCTCCAGCCCTGCATGCAGCTTTTGTACTGACTCAGGTACAGGCAAAAAGCCTTCAGGCCACTACCACAGCCTGCACCAGGACTCTTTCATCACACATGCTTTCTGCAAGCCCACAAACCACCCCACACTCCACCTGATGGGCGTACACAGGGTCCCTTTCAGGCTCTTCTCCGTGGGTGTTCACTCTGAGGTGATGTTATGTCAATAGGTGGGACGAACAACAATAGGTCCGGAATTTCACTGCCGTTTCTGTGAACTCATAGAAATACCCCAAATTTTTCAAAAAGTTTCTTTGCATAAAGGGAAACTGCCATGCAGACCCTTGACCTGTTATGGCCAGCTACACATACATTCTTATTTAAACCCTCCTTCTTCTGGCAGCTCACTTACAAAACACAGCACGTTTCCTTCTTACTTATCAGCAAAGATGAATGGATGGGTGGACCCCAGCTATGTCTACTCCTGATCCTTCCTTTCCAACTCTGGTTTCAACAAGTGGTACCACAGCTCAGGTCCTTCGCTCTCCCCCTGTGCTGCAGGCAAGCCACATACAGCAAGACTAAGCATTTACACAGGTGATCCTGTATGAAAGAGACTCCACATCCAGGGTAACAGGAAAAAAACATAGAGGAAAGCCCAGCGCATGGCTGTAGTAGAAGATTTAGGGACTCCAGGAGGGCTCTTAAGGGCAAAGCTCCATCAGGGAGATTATTATCTACTCTGTTCTAGAGAACCTCAGGCTTTTCCTATCATGGCTCATAATTTCCTGCGCTTCTTTTGTGAGAACTGAAGGCATCAGATTAGGAAAGCTCAAGGTGGGGAGGATGACATAACGCTCTGGGACAGTCTCAGTGAAATGCATAGGACCTGGCAGATGTGCATATTATATATGTATACAGAACATACACACTATGCACATGTAGATAAGGGCAATCTGTAACAATGAAAAGATCTAGAGGGTAAGTGATGTATTGGTCTTGGTTTTGAGCTCAATAACATCACCAGAAGGCAGGAAAACTCCACTGCTGTCAACAAAGTTAAAGCCACAGAAAACCACTGTGAGAGGAATCTCACAACTCCAAGTTTTGTGCAAGCTTGCTGTACTCTCTGCAAACATTTGTTCTACTACACTTACAGGGAAAGCAAAAAACCCCCAAGTTCTTGGAGCCAGTCTCTTCATGTATTTTACATCAGGTAAAATGAGCCGTTTTAATACATAATGCTAGCAGAACTGGCAGTGTAAGACCCTCTTCGACAGTATGAATAAACCTCACACAGACAAAGATAAATAGAAGGGTACTGCATGCAAAATGAAAGAGTGAAAATTGTTAGACACGTGTATATTTTATTAAGAGGAATACACTTCTACAATGGGAATAACCATATAAATCATGAGGCCTCAGCTCAGAACCATTTAACAATCTTCTATAAATACCACCTGAAAATATTCACCTGAAACACATTTGTTTCAATTCATTTCACTATGCCTATAAATAATCTCTCTGTCAAACAGGAACCCATGCTGATCCACAGACTACTCTAATCAGTCCACACAAATCACTCCTTGCAATTTTAACAACATACTCAGAGAATTTGAAAAATCATAAATAAGCAAAGAATTAATAAACTCCCCCAATTAATCCTAATTTACAGCTCCCTATTTATGCATACCTAAACCACAGCATACATCAGACTTCTCAACACCTGTCCTCCAGGTGGATGCTTACCTGAGCTGTTGGATTAGATCTTCCCCTTCTTTAATAACATTGAGGGTAGCATCCAAGGTGGCTGTTTGTTGCTGCTGAAACTGCTTGATAAGCTCCTGAACCGCATCCACAGAGTCAGCACAGACATCCTCTAAGAGCTCCTTCTGCAGATCTTCCATCCATGTCCACAGCTGGGAAGGAGGGGAGGGAAATATAAATCAGTGAGGAATTGAGATTTAACCCTTTTGCTCTCTAATTCCAGATCAGTAAGCATTAACTAGGGCTGCATGTTTCACAGGAAAACTGACCTAAAGTTTCTAAAAACAAAAAGATACATCAGTTATTGATGTAAAATAAATATAATATCAGGTATTTTTTTCTCAAAATTAATTTGCATTTCAGTTTATTATATATCAGTAACTAATTATTCTGATTAACTCTTTACACAAGTAACAAATTACAATACCCTACAGCTGTGATAACCTAACCCTTTCAGGAGCTGCATGCTATTAATCTCACATGCAGCTGAAGCCTGTTGCAGAGCTGAGATCTAAAATCTTTGGTATGCATGTATGGTACTGACTGTAGTCTAACTGTACCCACTCAGCTATGCCTTCCCGGGCAGAAGGTTTTGTGGAGGGTTTTTTGGTTTGGGGGATTTTTGTTGGTTTGTTTTCCAAAATGCACTTCAGACTCTGCTTTTTGCCTTTTTGGAAAATCCGAACATAAGAGGCAGCAATATCACCAATCAAACCCATGCAGATCCATTAATTTTAAATAGTCTTGACTACCAATCCCCAAACAACAACAAATCATTTGAGTAAGAGCTTAGATGAGAATTTCCAGCCAGCTGTTCATCAGAGATCTGGACCGTGGCAGGCAAACCCCAGCAGCCTCTCGTTGGCTGCAAAGGCTTAAAGCGAGCGGAGGTTTCCCCTTTAAGCTCGCTCGGGAAAGTGAGTGTAAAATTGCACCAACCGAGCTGGCAATCTGCCAGCAAATCCTAATGACTCCACCAGAGAGACAGATTTTCTGTGCCATGCCTGCCCCATTAACCCACATTCTGCTGGTATATTCTGCAAGGTAGCAGGGAAAGTACAGGAGTGGGAAACGACACGTTGCGCCGCTGCGCTGGGGAGCTGCGCTTCTGCCTGCTGGTCCCAGGAGCTGCAAAGCAGTTTGTCAGGAAGGGAGCTAGAGGTACACAAGAAGCAGACGACAGACGTCGTGTGGAGGTGGCAAAAGAGCTGGTAAAAACGTTTCTGTTGAGAACAAGGCGCACTGGATCCCCATCCTACAGCATCGCTTCTGAGCGTGTGAATTCTGCACGTCCATGGAAAATGAGAGGAGGAGAGGGGTGTCTTAAGAACCAGAGCTTCTCACCATCAGGGTCCAAACCTAAGGGCAGTCATCCACTGTGACACTATACGCACACTACTGACTTCAAGGATATCACCCTGATATAAACCAAAATAATCAAAATTAGAACTTGTCCCAGTACTGCTCAAAATATCAGCAAAGGGAGAGCGCAGCTGCCTGTGCTCTGTCCCCACCTCTGCTATGGACTCCTTGCTTGACAGACTTATAAAAACAAGTTTTAAAACATATGCTTAATTTGAAGGCTTTTCAGTTATGTTTTCAGAGTCAGCTTTGGATATTTTGGGTAAACGCCTCTGTTTATTCATAAATAGCATAATCATAATGACCTACCCGACTACTGGCCTAAAAATGGAATGTCTTTGCTCAGGTTATTTACATATTTTCACATTCTCAGGAGAAAGGCATGATATAAAAAGGTAACCGTTAATAAAAGAAACAAATATAATTAAGTAATCAGGCTTATGAAGTAAATGAAAGAATGAAAATATATTTAAAGAATCAAATAGAGAGCTTTTTCGTTTGAGGCCTGAGATCCAGGTGCTGAACTTTGGAAAGCCACCATAAAGGAAAATGCATTAATGCCTTTATACATGAATTACATTCAGAACCTTCCTGGTTTTGATCTGAACCCTGCACCCACTCGCACAGTAGGGACAGCTGGACTGTAACAGACAAGGACCAGGTTGTTTGGGAATATTACTTTCTCTGCTTATCAGATCTTCAAGTAATAGAGCACTTTGTAAATATAGAAGAGAAAAATGGCGGTCCATATAAATCATCTGCTTCAAGCTGGGAAAGCCAGTAGTTTTTAATTTCTTGCTGTTCTTTGTCATATTTCATTTTTTCACTTAAGATAACAAAAAAAGCTCAGGGAATTTCCTTTAGAAAATGATAGTGAAATCAAGAATTGCTTCGTTGGTCAAAATCTGCTGTTTTCTTGAAATTACCATGTTCAGAAGGGCAGAGGAGAAAGTTTCTAATCCCCCACTGTGACTTCAGAGGAAAGTTCTGTTTTCAAAAGTGTCTCCAGAAGCCAAATTTAAGCAACAGCCAAAAAGATTTGGATGTTTGAGATCCTAAGTCACTTTTTGAGAATGCTTCTAAATCAAAGCAGTTTTGAAATACTTAAACATAAACTGTTCTGTACTCACCTGGAACTGACATACTCATTAATTTCAGAGAGCTCTCAAATATATTAACTCATATTAGCTTCAGATGTTTCCATTAATGACCTCTGATTGTAAGGATTTGCATAATAAAATCTATCAGAATCTAGGTCATCCTTGAATCAGAGGCCTTTAATCCTTTAGACTCCACCAATCCCTGGGAAATCCCAATACAAAGAATCAGTCAATATTAGTAAGATTAGTTCTTTCAGGAACAACTTATAAGAGGAACCTGATTCAAAAACCTCCTAGGTTGTGTGCTACTAACCAACTAACATCACCTGAAATAAATTACAAGCAAGCTCCACTCCTGAACAACACAGCAATGAAAAGGTGAACTCCAGGTCACTGCAACAACAGCCAGAAGAGCTGTTAATCATAAAATAGGAATCACATGTCCAATTCCAATGCAACTATTCAACTGATTTTAAAAAATTCTGACTCTTAAAGCTCCAAATCACCAGACACCTTGTGCATTTCCTAATTCATGCTGTAACCTTAGGCTAAGTGAAACACTTCAATTTTTCACCATTTCCTAATTCATGCTGTAACCTACTCCTAACCGGCTACCTAGCTTAGGCTAAGTGAAACACTTCAATTTTTCATGGAAATTTGACACATTGCATTGGATGACTTTTACCTCATATTTGTAGAAACTGACTTTCTTCTTTTATTCTTAGCATGAGCAAAATCTGTGAGCGCCTACCCCATTCACATACATGCTCCAAACTGCTGCTAATGTAGGATAATGATCCTGTACAGGGGGTGTATGTATTTGTATGTAGACATTTCAAATATTAACACTGTATTTCTGCATCCAGCTATCGTGGCTTTTACTAAACTTGCCAGTGATATGCACATTCAGAAAAGGAGATAATCTCTGCATTGCATTACTTGACATGTACTAAACCAAAGATACAGAATCTTGGAAAACAAAGAAATAACACAAATACAATTTTCGTGCTTTCTTCAAATTGACCTATGTTTTGATATGCTTAATTGGATATGGAAATACTAACGCATTAATGGTAAAACATGAATTAAGTGCATCAGAGAGATCCAGCCACAAATCTGACTCGTGCAAACTATGTCTAAAAATGTTATAGTTGTCAGCTACACAGAAGTCTAAGGCAAATATCTAGCCCTAAAACATCCATGCTGAAGGCCCATAGAGGCTCTATAATTGAGGCTTTGTTTATCAAGGTAACCATGGCTTTAAACAAGAGAAACAATTCTCTTCTGATTACTAGACCAGTGGAAAAGAATGACACCTCCCTCCCTTCTTTTGGGGGAGCATCTGGCACCTCTCATGCATTGTAACAACTTCTGTGTCTTTTTGGATATAAAACATAGGCAGTTTCCCTCCATCCAAGAAACAATACAGCTCTTTATTCCCATTCTTTATCCCTATTTCATCTGATGCAATACCCTTCATTTTACTCAAGTACTTAATGAGGCCACTTATTCGAGGTTTGAAGGACATCTGTGCCTGTTACCTAGAAATTAATGCTTCTGACTTAAAGCAAGGGACCACTTTAAACAAAATCTAAAACCTAAAGAGATTGCTAAGAAAATCTTGCCTGCGTGTTTGGAATAACTACTAAACACCCAGTGTTTATACACTGCTATTTGCAAACCAGAGATGAGTTTTAATCCACTCAAAGCCAGTTTAAAAACACTAAGTAATGACACCAGTGAAAAGCAAAGAACCAGCCACTTCAATCCATTAGAATTAGCATCATACAACATTTTTGATAGTTGTTCAAAACAAGGATGTTAATGGAAACAAGCAACTTCCCAGGGTATTTGTTCTACCCCTTTACTATGTCAGAGAAGTGTCACGTGTTGCAGAGCAAGTCCCAAAAGGATCCTCACGCCAACTCTGTAAAGGGAATATCCATCACAGCCATGAAGGCTAGAGCTGAATGCAGAATTCAGTGAAATACGGGGACCCTCTTTTCCTACCTGCTTTGCACTGCTTCTGCTCCATGAGTTGTAGCTTAAGTGCACAGAGAACTAAGCACAGGTTGAGAAAAAAAAACAAACACAGACAGAATTGCTCCAGAGAGAGATGTCCATCTATTTTCCTCTGCTACTACGCCAGGCTTATAGAAACCTATTCTGAGCCATAACACCTAGCTTTTTCATAATATGTAGAAGTCACATCGACCCCAAGTTCAGGTTAAGTTATGGTAGGTCTTCAGCCATTGCTTTCATTTAAGCACTTGTCAAGTGCTGTTGTGAATCTGGCCTCATTGTGCAGCCTTTAGGATATTGCCTTTTCTACCTTGATTTCCCTGCAACAACAGGTGGAGATAAGAAAACTTTTAAGAACAATTAACCTTCATCAGCAGGTGATTATTCACACTTAGAATGCACCCAGTGCTGTTTCAGTTGAAAGAACTGATGGTTGCTATGTATTAGAAGCATATTTCAACAACATTTTCTGAAGTCACATTCAAGGTCTCGTGGACAAGTCAAGAGGAACATAGAAAACAATGTACATAACGATAAGCTGTAATGTGACCGCATGCCACCAGCAAAGTGTCATCAAATGACAGCACACCTAATAAAATGTGACAAGATGGGACACGACCAGACACTACATATGAAATGCCACAATATGCGACTTCCATGGTAAGATA